GTGAATCCATCTTCCCCGATTTATACTAGCACCTGGCCATACCCGCGGGTATACTAGTAAAAGCAACGGTTGGTAAGGTGGCTCTCACGTCAGCTGATCGTGAAACAGCCTCTCACGCAATGTCTCCAAGCCCGCCTCCGATCGATTTTACCCCCACGGGGCGAAATATAGCGCGGCTCGGCGGCTCGATTCCGTAACTACACAGTGGCGTAGCGGTGAACCCGTTGTTTCTAAGACCTATGACGACTACAGTGCTGTGCCATTTTCGTTTGAAGTCCAATAAGATGTTCAGTCGTATACCGGTAATTCACGGAATCTGTGCCCCACTAACTCCGTAGTAGAGAGTGCTGGTCTCAGCCAATAACAACGCGGCCAGTCAATCAGCACGAAGAATTCCCGACCGGTTATACCTAGTAAGCTTTGGGAGGCGTTATTGGCACTGCCATGCCAAGAAGCTTAGAAGGCTTGTTCCGATTTGGCGTTTCTCGGTCTCCGGGGAAAGAATCTTATTGCTAACCTCAATCCGACCTATATCTTCCCAAACTATTAAGCCTCCCCCCACTTCCAACCAAGCCTTGAGGTCGAGCCGAACCTCATGGAGGTCATAGACGAACAGTCCACCGCAGCAGAGTTGGTGGTATCGAGAGAGGACAGGCAGCGGACTCGTAACAGGCTGGCCCAGCGAAGACATCGTGAACGTGAGCACACACTGAGTTCCTCCTGCTTGCTTCCCGGGGGGTCATGTAGGGACCCAACGTTATACTGACCCAGGCTGACTGACACTGTGAGATAACGCCAACAGGCAAACGCTTTGGTGACGGCCGAAAACATGAGAATCATGTCAGTCGTGGCGGAAATTCAAGCGCACAATCCACGGGCGCTGAAAATGATAATCATGACATGTCATCAAACCCGACACTCCCTACACCTCCATCTCATAATATCTTCCCCACGTTCCTAGGACCGCAGTTTGGGTTCATGCCTTCCCACTCACCTTGGGAAAGTAGAATCGACTTGCAAATCCCGGGCGCACACGATCAGGATCTGGCCGCCCTGTCTCAACCACAACAGACCGAGGGGCCACCAATAGCTATGAGACAGATGCAACGTTTCCACCCGGCGCCCACTGAAAGGCAAGCAGATGCCGGGAATACAAAGGCCCAACCAGTTGGAACCGAGTTTATGCACCTTGCCGAAGGGGAATACTGGTGTGAGTTCATGTCCTGAAGAGACCAATAAGTCTTGAAGTGGCTCGTCTGCACCACGCATGAATCCCCAGGCTGACCGGGAGTACACTACCACCGATTAGCGCAGACCTATAGCCCCGTACACGAACTCTGGGACCCAACTGGAGGCAATCTCATGGCTACGATCCAGGCCCTCCCAGCAGTAGCCCGCCATGGATCCCACTCCAATCACCGGGTGAGAACCGAAAGATCCAGCTCCAGTTCAGACGGCGAGTCCTCCTCATCTTCGGACACATCGAAGTATCCAGCGCCTAACTATACTCACACCCCTCTCTCCTTGCAGAGGGACCACAGTCACGAGGAGGCTGGCTTGCAGAGACGCAGAAAAAGGACAAAGAGGGAGCGCGAAGAGTTGCCCCCGCAGAGGCCGGCCTCTTCCAAGGTCTTCTCCACGACAACCCCGGTGAGTACAAGCTCAAACGGGCGGAGACGGGGCTCAACTGCTCAGTTTGAGGATACGGACGAGGACTGCCTCGAAGCCAGACTCGAGCGCGTCTTGCAGATCGTCGAAGATAACGGATTCGACAGCATTGATTCAATGACGTCGACATACTACAGGTCGGAACTGTCGGAAGACTCTTTTCTGCGCCCGATGCAGGCGACCAGCCGTACGAGGCGGCTCAGGAACCTGCTTTCGGACCTACATGCCTCTCATAAATCATGGACCGAACGCGAGAAGAGCGCTTACGCCGAGGAGATTGTGCAGTCGGCCGAAAGCATATGCTCCGACGAGCTTGAGGCCCTGTACGGCTCGCGCGCTCCTCTCACTTCCCCTGTGCGCCGCCGCGCTTCCTCTACACTGCGAGAGCCGTCCCTCCAAGACCAACAAAGCACCAGTCTCCACTCGAGGCGGAGGGATATTGCCCGTCGGATCCGGGAAGTGCTGTCTTCCCCGGACATAAGCGAGTTCCTGCAAAAGGACCAAGCAGCGCTGCAAAATTCGGTACGTAATATGTTTAAAGAATTTGCCTAGGTTTGGGGGTTTTTATTTCTTTTTTTATAAAAAAAAATCAGACATGAGGCTAATGGTATGGTATGCTCAGGTTCCGGAGACGTGGTCAATGATGATAGAATTGGCGCGTAGGGCGGGATTGCAGCCCCATGAGCGAGTCATGGTGGCATGTATCAACGTATATCTTTTAACAGACCACCATTCTTCATGAGTGCTTTTCTCGCCAGTAACTATCCTGTGTGAGCGACCTGCTGTCAATAGAAACTCTGCGTCTAATCTGATCGGATTGAAGATCCAATCCTAAGAGTCCAAATGTCAGTGCACGTTGCGCTAGCTAGTAGACCACTTCACGATACTCCGCTTGTCATACGGCCCGGTCCGCTATGTGGGGCCGGGAAGCATAGTCAATTTTGAGTATAGGGTGCTTGGCTATATCTAACTGCTTCTAGTACGAGCGCTCTATCTAGACTCACTTATCACTAGGTACGTGTACTTTCTTAAAACTAGAACAGGCTAAGAAGAAAAAGATGTTTAGAATATAGGAAAACGAGGAGATACATGGGGTAGGGTTAGTAGTTAGGCCCCGAGCCAGGGTTAGGGTTAAAGCTTATGCTCCTAAGGCTTTAGGTAGGAGCGAGTTACTTAGAAGAAATGTTAGTGCTACAGCTAAATGCTAAATCATCTACGCCTAACTACCTACCTGTACTCGTTAAATTTAGAATCTCTAGCACCAAATTGGTTCCAACCAATCATGGATTTTCCTATCATCACACCAGGTCTAATTTATTCTTTCAATTTTTCACATTTGTATGTTTATTCGCCATAGTACCCTACGTCTGTTCAAATCACTCCGTATTGTTAGTCGCATCGCTCTAGAGAGTATTCATGACCAAGCATCCAAAGTCCCGTTGGCATCACAGTTTCATCTCTTCTCTTCGCCAGGGTTCGTTCCCTCTTCACCAATGTCCATCTCCTCTGGGCTAGCAATGGCGAACGGAGACTCCTCTTCCTCATCGTCATGGGCCTCCAACACATCGTACTTGGCAACCCTCGCCTCAGCCTCGGCAGCCTTGGTCCGGCGTCGAACCCATATCGCCAACAACGACGACTGCAGGGCTATGAATGCGGCCACAAGGCCGACGAGGAGACCAACGACACCGCCAAGGAGCAAGCCCAGGAGCAGGTTTGCCTGACCGCCAAGCATGACGAGCCGGCCAATCCAGATATGCGCGTAAGATATATACGTGCGCCGCCGAATGCGCACAAAATCGACGTGATGCTTCCAGCCCAGGAACGCCTGCAAGCCTACCGCGCCCGCGAGCGCGAGGCCGAGAAATTGATGCACCGTGTTGATTTCGCGCTGCAGCGCCAGCCCGGCCGCAACACCGCCGGCCACTGCCGTCGAGGCCAGGGCCTGTAGCATCCAGTGGTATGTGAAGGCGCGGCGCGAACCGGAGCGCATGGCCACGACGCCGGCAGGAAAGGCCACGAGGAAGGCCAGTGCCATCAGGATGCCATGAAGCCGGAGCATGGGACTTCCCGGCATCCAACCCGCGAGGCCGAGACCCGAGGGGAGCTCCGAAGCGCCCAGAGCCGCGACTCCCGGTCGGATAACGGGCAGTGAGGGCAGGTGAGCACCGGCGCTCTGATCGGCGCGCGCCATGTCGACGTAGAAGCGGCCCCAACCGCCATTACCGGCGTGATGTGCGTGCATGCGTAGGTGAGCGTCGTAGCTGTAGACGTCAAAGGCCTGGGCCTTGTTCCAGGCCCAGATCCACGGCTGCGCCGTGGCCGTGGCCGAGAGAGTGCCGCTGCCGGCGCCGTCGCCCGCCCACAGAGTGCACGAGTAGCATACGAGTGAGATGGAGGCCGTTACGGATTGCCGTGCCGTGGCCGGCACCCAGTCGGACCGCAGTACGCGCAGGTCGCCGCCGCTCATCTGCGCACGCGTCAGAAGCTGCGGCTGATGGTGGCCGGTGCCTGCGCGGATGCTGACGATGGGTCGCTCGCCCGACGCTGGGTCGCCGTAGATGATGAACATGAGAGACCCGGTCATGCTGTCGCCGGTGCCGACGGCAGTCCAGCCCACGGCCGACCGCCGCGGGCGCGTGTGCGTAAGTGTCAGATAAACGTCGTGCGCTCCCGTGCTCGTGTTGCGCGACGTGGCAAGGCCGAGACAGAAGTCGGCCGCCGCATTGGGCCTGGCGGGATCGCCGAACCGACAATACTGCACCGGTTCGGCGCGAACGGAAGGGAGCAGAAACGCGTGCAAAGCGAACAGTGCTAGGAGAAACCAGGACCAGGACCTGCCCTGGCCCGGTTCTGAGATTGCGTGGTGGGTGGTCATGGCAGAGGCGGCAGCCGTATCAAGAATTCGTGGGCTCTGACCCAAAGAGAGGTATATGAAAATGCGTGTGGGCTGTCTTTGGCATCCGGTCCAATCTGCCCGTTTGAGGCTTTCAAGTAATACCTATGGGCTTTCTTCGGTCTTGGAGAGAAAGGGGCGCTGGTAGATCGCATAGCGACGATGACCAGATCGAACCCGTGTCCAACTCATAACATGAGGCGACCCTGAGGTCATTGACACCATCGGTACGGAGGTGCCGTAGGATGTACACTGCTTAGTAGTGGCGCCGGGATAAGGACACCCTCATGCGTGGTACCCGTCGCCTAGCATGGATCCTGATCCTGCATGACCGTGCATACATACGCCGGCCGGCCCCTCCCGGAACGCGATGAGAGCCATTCATCTAGGTAGGCTATGACCGGGCGGGATGCATGGTAAGGAGGCAGGCTTAGCTGTTGACACAGGGTAAGCACCTGGTCCATTTGATTTACCTGGCTGCACCGGCATCGACCGTAGTCTTTTGCATCCCAGACTTCCTCCCATACGAGGAAGTCCTGTACTATGCAGTGAGGACAGTAGAACAGAAGTCACAGTGAAGTGTTTTTATCGGTGCTAAACCGGGCTTTCCAGCGTCTTCCTGCGAGGTCGAGTCAACACCATTGTAGTCTGTGCTGGTTTAGAACTTAGGATTTGCAGGTCTGGCCTTGCATTCAGGATCAAAGTCACCGCAGCATGTCGAGCCACGCAATGTCCTCGTCGATAGTACTACTTTTTCTGTGCGTCCTCTTCGCGACGCTGGTACACTGTTTTCCATCGTCAGAAACCAACCAGCAACAACAGTCGCATAGAATTCGCGACGCGATCCGGCAACCGTTGGGATGGAAACGTACTACGCGTGCCGAGACAGACACCGTCGTTCATCTGCAAATCGGCCTGAAGCACGATGGCTTCAAAGAACTAGAGCGGAGACTGTATGAATGCAAGTGCCCAAGCCCCGCCACCCGCGTCCATACCTCATCGGAGATCCATCATGTTTGAATGGCATCTTCCCAGGGCGCAAGGCTACTGCCGGCCTCTATCAAGCTGACTTCCTGCTTTGCGACTATCTGCAGTATCAAATCCATCCCATCCATCCTACGGCCGCCACCTTTCCGGATCTGACGTGGCACAGTTGCTCAAGCCGTCCGCCGACACGGTCCGGAAGGCAGAAGACTGGCTTATTGAACACGGCATCACCAAATATGACATGACACCCGCCAGGGACTGGATCCGGGCTTCGGTTCCTGTCCGGACAGCCGAAACTCTCCTAGATGGCGAGTTTTACCATTTTGAAAGCGACACCGACGGACACGTACTGGTGCGCACGCTGGAATGGTCACTGCCGGAACACCTCCGCGGCCATATCGACGTCGTGCAGCCAACCAACTCGTTCCTCCGCACCGTTCCACAAGACCGATACGGCGGTATCCAGAAACCCGCCTGGGAGGTCGAGGGGCGAGTCCCGACGTACGATGAGCTCGTCGAGGAGGACCTCGTGGAGCGTGGTCACATTGATATCCCCGCGCTCGCGGACCTGCCGCCCAACCCGACCGTGGCAGACGCCTGCAACCGGCTGGCCATCTCGTCGCTGTGCCTACGTGTGCTGTACGGGACGCTAGACTACGAGGTGCAGCAGCCCGTCGATGTCAACGCAACGAACAAGGTGGGTGTCGTCAACTTTCTCGGCCACAACAACAACCGGTCGGACATCGCGCGATACCTCGAGTTGTACCGACCGGACGCGGCCGCCGCGGGCGCGGCGACCGCCTTCCAGACAGTGCTGGTGGCCGGGGCGGTGGACCAGCAGACGCCCAACACGCCCGAGCAGATGAGTCGGGCGATGGGTCTCGAAGGCGCACTGGACGTCGAGACGTTGCTGGGCGTGGCGCACCCCGTGCCGCTGGTCGCGTGGAACGTGGGCGGGCGGCCGCCGTTCCAGCCGAGCGCGAACAAGGTCGAGAACTCCAACGAGCCATACCTCGAGTGGTTGCACCACCTGGCGGCGCTCGACGACGCGGCACTCCCGCGCGTCGTGTCGGTGTCGTACGCCGATGAGGAGCAGACAGTGCCGCCGCGCTATGCCGCCCGCGTCTGTGAGGCCTTCGCGCAGCTCGGCGCACGCGGCGTCAGCGTCATCGTCGCCTCGGGCGACGAGGGCGTCGGCAAGGAAGGCAAGTGCGTCTCCAACGATGGCAACGAAACCCCGAGGTTCATGCCGGCCTTTCCCGCCTCTTGCCCCTATGTCACGGCCGTTGGGGGCACGCGGCACTTTGAACCGGTCATGGCTGGGTTCGATGCGCGGGGCGGGTTCAGCACAGGTGAGTTACCAAAGCCCTTAAGGGAGGGAGGGAGGGTATCGTAAGATGCCTCCAGGTCTTCATCGTCCTCATCAGAACGCTGACAAGAAGGCGTGGTTTGAATAACTTGTTAGGCGGCGGCTTTAGTAACTACTTTCCCCGGCCCCGCTACCAGGAGCCGGCCGTTGCGGCCTACGTTGCCGGCCTGAACACGACACACCAAGACCTATACAACCCCCACGGCCGGGGGATTCCCGACGTCGCCGCCATGGCCTACCACTTCCCCGTTGTGTGGAATGGCACGTCGCATCTGCTGGATGGCACGAGCGCGTCGGCGCCGGCCTTCGCCGCCGTTATTGCCCTCGTCAATGACGCGCTGCTGGCGGAGGGGCGGCCGCCTCTGGGCTTTCTGAACCCCTGGCTCTACAGCTCGGCCCTGCCTGGCCTGCGTGATGTCGCCGCCGGCTCAAACCGCGGCTGCGGTACCATGGGATTTCCGGCCGTGGAGGGCTGGGACGCAGCCACCGGGCTCGGCATGCCGGTAGGTTCTTCCTTATTTTGTTCCCGAGGCTACTCTTTCCTCCGCGACGTTCATATGGGACTTGTAATTGACATATTGGCCGCAGTGGTTTCCAGTCCTCAAGCAGTTGGCGCTCCGGGATGCTTTTCGGTGGGACCATCCTTGGTATATAGCGAACTTGGCATGACAAAGGAAAAGACTGATCAGACGGTTCTTCCCCACTGGATTGCGCCGGAAGGTGGTTAGAGTCATGTATATTCATCCTGTAACAGTAATTACAATAAGACAAACCAAAATTTTGAATAGGAGGAAGAACTAGTAAAACCTAGCCTTCTTCCTTGGCAACTTCAACCTAACCGCTACCGCTGCTGGCAGGCTACGGGATTTCTGATTTGATCCGTCACCATAGCTGGGCCTCTCCGCTGCAAAGCTAAAAGAACCATGTATTATGATGGTTCAGTAGAACAACAAAAGAATAACAATTGTAACTGTCTCTCTTCAATATAGGGGTCTTTCTGGTATGCCTAAACGCGGCCAACGTCTGGGCCCCGCAGAAGGAGAAATCGTAGTCAGACTTAGAGAAAAACTCCCGTATTTAGCGTAAAGTCTGAGAGGAGGATTATCCTAAAACATCCGTTATCGTATCCGAGTGCCGTCACACGCAAGAGGCAATTTTCCAGGGCAGATTGATCCACTTGTACCATACTCTTCACATCTAAATCAAAATTTGTAGTATAAATCGACCCAATGAATAGCTTCTAGAGCCAAAAGTTTGTGGTTTTTAGCGGATTGAAACCGGTTACTTTACTATCTTCTCTAGGCGGACAACCAATCCACCCCCCTCAGCTACTCATGTAGGTAACAATCTGTACCCGTATTTCACACAGTACAAACATGTCCGTGTGAGAACCAGCACAATAAATTTTCAACCGCAGCTGCGTTGATTTAATGGTGATAGTCCTCACCGTGTGGATAAGCCGGGCCTGTAGTTCAACTATTAGCGGAATGGGTGAAAAGTGGAAGTGACAGAGACATTGGATATATCGCAACCTCACCTTTGGAGGGGTGGATCAGCCAGCCCGGTTTCATCATGTCAACCGTCCGCGCTTTGGTCCACTGCGCGAGCTTGTCCCAGTTGGCGCACTGGTGGTGCGTTGCGTTGGCCACTGGTACCAGGCTATTTGGCGACCACTGGAACGTAATGACGCCGACATCGGCGTGGCACATGGCCGATTGGCGCAGGAAGTCCAAACAGTGATCTATTATTGCACCAATGGGCGTGTAGGGTCAGCAGCTTCCCATAGCCAGCGGAGGGGGATGGACGGTGGATGCGCGTCTGCGTCACGGCTCATACCTTTGTGCTGGCGATTGCTTGCTTGTTCCGCAGGCGTGTCACCCTGTGGGTAGACGTCTGGATAGGTGTATTGATAGAGGCGTTTCTGCAAATGTGAAGCGTGCGTCAGATAGCGAACCTAAGGGGACAGGCAAGGGGGTTAAACTGCCCTAGTTACATACAATACAGTGAAGCTCGTGGTATACGTTCAAGGTGCCGAGGAACCCCGAACCGTCAGGGACAGCTACACCAAACTGATCACGGCCGAGAGCTTTTATATACTCTGGCTCCAAAACAATGTTCTCGTCTAGGTACAGAGTCAACAATTAAAAATCCAAGGTAAGTATTGATGTCTAGGTGGGCGGGAATGGCGGCACTCACCATTGATTATTCTGTGCCAATTTCGATTCACCTCCTCCCTTGGAGGTCCGGAGAACGGCCCATGTTCATTATCGTTGTTGATAAAGGTCTGCAGTTCCCACTCTACGCCATCGTTGGCCGGGGCTCAAAAACATGTTAGCCATCCATCCCAGTATGCCCCCACTGCCTGAGCCGAGCTTGACTTGGACGAAACTTACAGTTGACAAGCTGCGGACCATACTTTCGCAGCTTGTTGACTTGTGCACGCAGAGACAGAAAGCTCCCGATGTATACAGAAAGTAGAATGGCATGTACGATGACAAAGGAGATCCACCACAACCGACGGCGGCGCGTGATATGGTTTGAACGAATCTCCCGTATCTCTCTCTCGCCGAGAAAGGAAGAGGAATCGCTGTCGGGAGCAGACGAGGGCAGGTCCATCGAGGTCTTTTCGAGATTTTCCCCGGGGCTGAAAGATCGGTCCAAGTCGGAGCGTTGTTGAGATCCCATTGTGGGCGAAAGGCGTATATTGAGCACGAAAGCGACGGTAACCTGCGCAGTTTCGTGGCCGCTAGTATGTTTGGGCGACGAGAATCAGTGCAAGCATGAATCAGGAAGAGACCACAGGTGCAGCGACAACATGGAAATCGGATGTGTCCTGCCAAAGAGTAGCCGCATGGGTTTCGAGGCGGACCTCACCATCGCAGCGTTCCGCAAGGCTCCAGACGTGCAGTCTTGCTCGAGGCAACCTTCCGCCACAATGACCAGTATCTAGATACACGTGACCTTTGTTCAGAGACGATACGTAGTAACTGACAATACTTTTATTGTGGCACTGCAATGTGGTCGTAAGAAGCTTGAATTGCTTTACTACGCTTACTCTTATGGTGACCCTGCATTAGGATTTAGGTAATATGACCCTGCATTGGGTGTGACCCTACATGTAATTGCCAAGCCACCCCCAAGCGTCTATCCCCCATTTCAATTCAGAGATATTCCACGCCCGTAAGTTCGCCTAATTCATGTCGTTACAGCATGTGAACTTGTGTCGTGCTAGGCAACACTCGATGGTCTAGTTGTGATCGGCATTCCGATTGTGCTTGGCGGCGTTGAGCCTCACTTCATGTTGTTGCCACATGCAATGTTCAACCGTCTGGACTGACCAGCTTTGGCCCCTTTCTCGATTTGAATGCTTCTGCAAACTCGAACATCATGCCGTTGTCCATCGCCAGGCGTCTTATCGTAATAATCCTCTGGTGTTATCTCCATTCGCCAATAATCCCGAGCGTCTCGGCGAGGTTTACTCAGAGTTCCATCAAAGAGCGTCATGAGGTACCTCGCGGATGGGATCTTGTTGCAAGAGCACCCAAAGATGGCCGCATGTCGCTCCATATTGGCCTGCAACCGGAGAGTCCTGGGCAGCTCGAACGCCACTTGAACGAGATTTCAGACCCATTCCATGAAAGGTTTCGACAGTATCTTTCTGCCGATCAAGTTAAAGAACTGATGCGACCCTCGGAGGAAACTATTGACGTCGTCCACGACTGGCTTGTAGACTGTGGAATAAGTCCAAGCAGTTTCAAGTTCAGCGCAGGGAAGGACTGGGTCATCGTCCCGGACTTGACCATTGCCGCGGCTGAGAGACTCCTTCAGACATCGTACCACGTGTACAGAAATGCCGACCAAGAGCTAGTCCGCGCTGTAGAATGGTCACTCCCCCTCCTACTTCATGACAGAATCGACATGATCCATCCAACAACATCATTCTTCGTCACAAAAAGCCCACGCCGGTGGCGAAGGAGCGATGGCAAGGTCAACACATCGACACCCTCCTCACTGAACGATGCCGCAGAGGCTGTCGATGATGGGGTCGCTGCGGCGGAGGGCGTAGACCTCACCAACCCCCCCGTCGATTTGACGCCGGAACAGGCCTGCAATACAAGTGCTGTAGCTCCTATCTGTCTCCGTGCTTTGTACGGAACGCTGGGCTACACAGTCCAAGCCCCAGAGACGAATAGCATGGCCCTCTCCAACTACTGGGGAGAGTTCAACAACCGTTCCGACATCCGCCAGTACCTGAGAAACTATCGACCTGAGGCTACACGTGCCGCGGACGAGTTTACGATTGCGAACTTCGACGGTGCTGTCAACCAACAGGAGCCCGCCACCCAGTCCCAGCTAGATAATCGTCAGGGCCGCGAGGGCAACCTAGATGCCCAGGTCATGCTCGGCATCGGATATCCCACACCTCTATTGACGTACAGTACGGGCGGACCCCTACCTCCTTACAACCCCGACCCCTCGTTCCCAGAAAACACCAACGAGCCTTTCCTGGCTTGGCTGCAGCATGTCATTGCCCAGCCGGAGCTCCCCGCTGTGATCAGTACGTCGTACGCCGATACCGAGTACACCGTTCCCCCCTCCTACGCCAGGCGGGTCTGCAACGGCTTCGCGCAGCTGGGCGCGCGCGGCGTGACCGTTGTGTTCGGATCGGGCGACTGGGGCGTCGGAGCCCCGGGAACATGCCACGCGCCCAATGAGACGGCGCTGCGCTTCGTAGCGCGCTTCCCTGAGAGCTGTCCCTACGGCACGTCGGTTGCGGCGACGAGGGGGATCAACCCACAGAGGGTCGCCTACAACGAACGGAACGGGTTCGTGAGCGGCGGAGGCTTCAGCGAGTATTTTCCCCGGCCCAGCTACCAGGATATCGCCGTAAGCTCATACATAGCCCGGCTCGATGGGAAGCATGACGGGCTCTACAACCCACACGGCCGGGCCTACCCCGACGTCGCAGCCATGGGCTACCGGATTATGACCGTATGGAACGGGACGACCAGGGTCGTGGATGGGACCAGTGCCTCCGCGCCCATTTTTGCCGCTGTCGTGGCTTTGGTCAACGATGCGCTCATCGCCAAGGGTGAACCCACTCTGGGGTTCTTAAACCCTTGGCTGTATGCGGGCGGAGGCGCCAAAGCTTTCAGGGATATCACGGTTGGTTCTGCCAAGGGATGTGATACGGATGGGTTTCCTGCTGTAGAAGGGTGGGACGCGGCAAGCGGCTTTGGCACTCCGGTAAGCTTGTCTTTTTCCTTGAATTTCTTCTATCCTTGCCGTCAGTGTCAGAAACTCATCCTAATCAATGAACAGTGGTTCCCTGATTTCAAAGAGCATGCTCTAAAGTGGGGTTTTCGGTCCATCAGGCCGTGGTACATCGTAGACTAGTTAACTCTGCTTAGACTTCACGAAGAAGAGAAATACATAAAAGTTCAACTCCCGATCGTCGCAGGTTTTACGATGAATGATCTATATATGATACCCATGTCTAAGTATACCAGTGACTTACGTTTCGATCCTGCTTCAAGTCTTTTCACTTGGTGATATTCCCGCCTATGATGAAAAATGGGATCTATGTCGTTCTGTGCAGAGCTCCGGCACGATCTTTTAGTTCCGAATTTACAAACAAGACAGCCCTCTAACACCGGCCCGCAGGACACCCAAGCCCGAGTGACCATTGCTGTCCTCCGACGCCCACGATGGACAACACGCAATTGACCGTCCCCCCAATACCTTCACCCGCCACCAGCCCGGCCGCAATAGCGAACAAGTACCTCTCAAAACCTACTGGGGCCTTCCATTTCCACACCTTGGCAGCAATGGCACCCAGCATCATGGACACGCTCGTCTGAGGGGACGGCAGCGTGAATGCCAGAGCGAAGATCATCATGTTGGGCATGAAACGCTGGCCCCCCTGCCACGCGCCGACGACCAGGAAGCGCCTCACCATGACCAGGAGAACCGATAACACGGCGAGGCCGGCCGAGAAGCGGGCACTTGAGGGAGGGACCGGCGGCGTCGGTGCGCTGGCGGCGATGGCGACGGCTCGCCAAGCCGCGATCGAGGGCCCCGGGAACTCGCACGCCCGTTCCCCTGCCTCGCCTTCTGATGACGGGTTGGTGATAATGCACGGGTACGCTGTGGCGAAGAGGACGAAGACGGACGGCGCCACAAGCGTCGCTACCAGTGTCCCAATGAGTTGGGCAGCGTACTGCAGACGCGGCGGGGTGCGCAGGAGAAAGCCGACTCGGAAGTCACCTATGAGGTCTTTGATACCATGATACCTGGTGTTAGCTGATGACCTCTCTATGTCATACAATAGGGATGAGGGAACGAGGCTTACCAACACCTTGGCTGGCCCCTATGTTCGTGAGGCTGGCGCCGAGCAGGTTCAGGCGCTGGGCATCAGTTATGCTTCCGCCCGTTGCTTGCGTCACACCGCTGAGGACGGCTTGTGAAACCTTGGATATGGAGTTGATTGGAGTTGTATCTACGATTGCAGAGAGTCAGTGAAATGAGAGGCTACTGCGGCATATCATCTTGAGCAGTAGGCATATGTTAGGTTTCAAGAAGTGGTAATACTAACCCGTTGCACCCGTCGCTTGAATGGCAACGAGCGACATACCAAACGACAAGACGAGGGCGAGCACAGATTCAAGGATCGGCATGTTAAACTGCCAATATGTGAGCAGGACGGCCAAGACCACGAGTACGCAGACACCGGGCGCCCACATCCACGTGGCAATATCTTTCTCTTCCAATTCTTTTTTCGCTGCTTCTTTTTCATCTTCGACCGTGGCCTGGATGTCTTCGTCTGCAAGAATGTCGTAGTTGTCTGACAACCTCCGTCTGTACCTCACAAGCAGTCGCAGGAGCCTAGCGCTGGCTGCTTTAGATGAGATGAGTGTGAGATTCCAGAATAGACGCCATTGGCAACCAAGCTCTGTTTACAATGTTCTTGATTAGTGTGAAGTCAAGATCGGCATAAAATTGCCTTTCCAAAGGAGGGTGTTGTCGCGTACCTGCGAAGGCAACCGCAAGTGTGCAAATCACGCCAGGCCATAGTAGCCAGTACCTGGCACTTGGGTGGCTTACACTTGCAAAGTCGTCTGACATGGATTTGTAAGATGTTAGGCCCGCCCATCCCGCCTCGCTGGTAGGAACCGGCTGTCCAAAGGCAATGTCATGTTCCACAAGATACGGCCCCAGGAGCCCCCTTTATTCGTACCAGTGAAAGTGTTAGAGGTTTGCGCCTACTGATACAGAGAGATATTGACCACGGGGGAAAATACTAAGAGAGATGATAAAGGGGATCGGGGAGGCTTACCATGCTGTCACTGACCCAGCAAAGAACGAGCAGGCTACTTTAAAGTCAACTAACATGCCTATGCCCATCATCGCTGGGGACAGCTCTATAACCCATCCCCAGCTCTCTGCAGCAATGGCCAGGCTGTGGACGATGTTTGCATTCGCGAGCCAGGTAAACACATGCCACTCCTAATATACATTAGTTACTGGCATCCTTTGGGGATAGTTATGGAAATGGGGACCCTGTCGCATGTGGGTAGGAGGCTGCCGTGAAAGGGCTGGGCGCTTAGAGCCATAGTGCGATGCTCCCATGTACATACCCAAAGAAGGCCCGGCGCGTACTGAGAGACGACCCTGAGCACCATGGCCGCTCCAAAAGCATAGATGGTTGCTTTCAGCTTTGGGCGGGCTGCCTCTTCCCCGTCAGCGGCCGAGTGCATGCTATGAATGCTCATAGCCGTTGCCATAGAGGAAGGGAAAACGAGATCGAGATCCCGGGCAACATCCTCGATAAAAAGCTTGCGAACTGTAAAGGTAAATTAGCCAAAGATAGCAAGATCTGATCCTCGCCTGTGAGCGGGAGTAAAGAAAGAATACTCACGTGGGGCTATGGTAAGGAGACCAAAATATCCGCCAACGGCGACGAGT